GTGTGTGTGTGTGTGTGTGTGTGTGTGTGTGTGTGTGTTTGCAGGCCTGGAAACGTTCAGCCTCATTATATTCAGAGCGCCTGGGCTCAGACTAATACCTGGAGAGGAGAGGTGGAGTGTGTATCAAGGCTGGGTGTAAYGTCTGAGATATGACATCAGGTAAACACACGCAACACTAACCTGCTCCTCCATCGTAGCCTTTGGATCCTGCTGCAAGCTGCTCCACCCGTCCCCRCCCTCCTCCTCCTGCGCCTCCTGTCGGGTATCTACCTCTGCGCGCCGCTCCGGCTCCTCCCTATCAGCCCCACTCATCGCTGAGCAGTTAATTTCAGGATTAATACGCGTGGCGGCGGCGGCRGCGGCGGCRGCGGCTGGCTCTTTTGAGGGATTTGTAGCGGAGCTGCAGACACTTATCTCGGTCATTACGGCGTCCATATTGGATCCAAGCGTCTCAGAATCTGCCAAACATTCAGCTGCAGACGAGTCTATCAGGGCGACACGCAGCCCGGGATTAAGATAAGGAGGCCCCTCATTACAGATCCTCTGCTCCTGCAGAGGAGCTCCTGCAGGAGCCTCACAGAGGGGGCGGAGCTCCTCGGGGGGCCAGGAAGGACACGGGCTGGGCCCCGAGCCCTGGAAGTACAGGTGATCTTGGTACGGGTCCACCTGGGGCCAGCGGGGTCCGCTCAGCCCGTCGCTGGAAGTGGACCTGTGCAGGAAGGGGCGTGGCTTCCTGCACAGCAGCAGGCTGTAGCAGAGGGGCGGACCCAGGTACACCTCCTCGGTGCAGGCTGCAAACAGGGTCTCCTCGTCACGGATGTCGGGGCTGGGGGGCGCCGAGGCCACCCCGGCACATCTCAGGTCCAGACCACAGGCTGGTTCAGGATCAGAGAGGCGGTCTGGTTGTTTGGTCTGCAGTGCTGGACTGCAGGAGTCTGGACTGCAGGGGTCTGGACTGCAGGGGTCTGGACTGCAGGGGTCTGGACTGGTGCATGACGGGATGCTGTAGGGTGGGGGGGTGGAGCTCTGGTCCTCGCTGCACTGACTCACCTCACCACAGTCGCTGTCGTGGGACGACAGGGACAGGTAGGAGTAGAAGTCCCCCTTCCTCAGGTGCAGAGGCTGGTGGGCGTGTTGGAGGACCTGCAGAGGACAGGAGACCAGAACCAGGATCTGAGTCCACATCAGAACTACAGTCTGAGTCCAAACCAGAAGCAGGATCTGAGTCCAAACCAGAACCATGATCTGGGTCCACATCAGGACCATCCTGTCTTTAAAAGATGCTTTGAAGTCTGGTTCAGTGTCAAAGCTGTAATCAGTATCTTACCTGCTGCAGATGGCTCTTTGAAGGACCTCAGTTTGGAGAAACCTCAGGTCTGAACACAGCTAAAGGACTGAAGAGGGTTCTAAGCCTACCATGGTGGTAGCAGCAGCTAGCTGTAGCACTTCCATGCAGCCCTGGCTGCTCTGTAAATGTTTCTCCAAACTGATGCTTCAAAGAGTTTTCATTAAAAAGCTGGAATAAGTAAAGAAAAAAAACCCTCAGAAACAAAGAGTTGAGAGAATCCACAGCTTTAACCTCTGTGATTTGTAAAGGATCACRTCATTAAGTCTTCATTTCCATATTAATGTTTTATAATCACAAACAAGGTTTTCTGCCTGATTTGTTTCTGCTGAAAACTGATGAGTTTCTCGGCTCTTCCTCTCGCTGCTGAAGAAATGAGTCATTTCAGCCCAAAACTTCTGATCTGTGATGCGATTTATTAAATTACTTCAACTCAGTGAGCGAAGCCACAGACAGAACTTTTACTTCTCGATGATTTTGACCTTGAAGAGCAGGAATCACATCAAACTGTTTGCTCGTGGCCCGCCTGGCTGCGGCGGCCATCTTGGATTTAAACTCTTGAGCCCCAAAACAGTTTTTTTCATTTTCTATTTTTTTTAAACTTCTGTTGAACCTGGACATGTTTAGTGTCAATAAAAACCTAAGAATCTTGGCTAAAAGCTCATGGAAACTGTGTTTACATTCATTAAACACAGTTCAAATGTCAAGATGTCATCATGGTCTGTCCTGTGCAGAATGACTAAACACTAAATTATTTCTTTACTAAAACCTCTGTAACTTTGCTC